CTTGAACTTCTGGCCTCAAATGATCCTTCTGTGTTGGCCTCCCAGAGTGCTACTATTCCAGGCATCAGACACCATTCCCAGCAGATTATTTTAATTTTTAATAGTTTGTCTGCTACTTTGTTAAAAACCCAGAATAATAGCTGGGTGTGGTGGCTCATGCCTGTAATCCTAGCACCCTGGCCAAGATGGGTAGATTGCTTGAACTCAAGCGTTTAAGACCAGCCTAAGCAAGAGTGAAATCCTGTCTCTAAAAACAGCCAGGCATTGTGGCAGGTGTCTGTAATCCCAGCTATTTGGAAGGCTGAGGCAGGAGGATCACTTGAACCCAAGAGATTCAAGTTGCTATTACGTTGATACCATGACCCATTAGCCTAGGCAAGAGAGACTATGTTTCTAAAAAATAACAACAAAAACCCAAAATAAAACCTAGTTCTAACTAGGCCTAAAATGGTCCCTCTGATTTTCTTCTCCCTCCTTAAAAGATAAAGCCTATTAAACAACTTAGGATAAAAATAACTTCTGAATAAAAAGCTCCAAACATTAAAAGAGTAGTAGTAAGGCATACACTAAGCCCCAGAAAAAGGTTCTCAAATAAGCTAGGCATTTTTAAACTTTTCTTAGGCAAATTCTTTGAGTATTTGCTATAATTAAAGAAAAGTCAAAGTTAGGACTAAATGGCCTAACAGTGTAACACATACATTTTAAGCAAGCATTGCCTATGCTTCTCACCCAAGCTAAATATTGTGTATTTTATGCCTTTTGACAGTGAACTATTGCAGCCGTTACCCATGTTAGGGTATCCAACATTCCAAATTAAATTTGTTTAATGAAGCAATGCCTTAAGGTACTGTACTCTTGACAGTTTCTTGGTGCATTTAACATAGAAATTCTGATTAGATTTTTATTACTTCAGCCAGGTAAGCATTCAAATTTCAAGCCAAGTTATTGAAGGTGCTGAAACATATCAGATGTGTTTCCCTGGGTCTGATACAGGAACATTTATAAGAAATTTATTCTGAACCTGATTTAGAAGAAGGAAAGCTCCAATATCTAGAAATCTTCTGAATTTGGAGCTTTATAATACATTCAAAATGGTGCCATGACACCATTAAAAGGTTTAAAACATTTTTAAAATCTTTATAAAAATACTTATTCTTAAAAACACTAGAATGCTCTTTGAAAGTCTATTAGACATTTAAATATGTGTTCTTTTATGCTATTCTGATCAAAAGAAAGAATGTTAAGTTTAGGAAAGGGAAAAATGAACATTTAAAAAAAAAGTTTATTTCTAGCCCTGAAAGAACAAAATTATTGAACAAAGTCATCAAATACAGCAGTTAATGTCAATGTAACAATTAAATAATTGAATGGGATTAAATTAAAAATAAAGGCATTATAAAATTTGAAGACACAACAGAAAAACACTACTTTCACTTAATTCCATCTCTATCAAAACAAGAAAAAAGAAGTCAACACATTCCAACCAAAGATGTTGAATTCCAAATGTAATTGTCTTAGTATAAAATGATAATTTGACGGAATTATCATACATTTCATTTTGCCTCTTATCTTGGCAACATTCTGCAATGAAGGAGAAAGACTTCAGTTCTTTCAAGGCCAGGCCAGTGCTTGATTCTTCTTTGTAACTCCATCATCTACCACAGCTTCTTTGCCAGAGTGTTCAATAAATGCATTGAGTGAAGAAAAAAATGTGTGTGTACATATATACATACATTTTTTTCTTATACACACATACACACACCAGGGAAAAACTGATGTTAACTGTTTAAACATCTACTATTGGAGCAGTGGAGACAAGATAATCTGCTTTTTATATTACTATGAAATTCTACTATTAAAAAACCAAACTGAGTATTAATCTGGATTTTAGCTATAATCTAATGATAATTTGACATTTCACTCACTATAGATCTCAATATAGTTTAATAATTTTAGATTTTAAAACTAATGTGAATTCTTTGAGCACCTATTTTTTCTAATTATAGCTACTACCTGATCAGATCCAAAATTATTCTGGCTAGAATACAGTATATACAAATGAACACATATTTAAGTGAGCCCTACAAAGAAATACTCATAGGTAGTTTAAAATTGCTTGTTAAAGGCACAGGCTCATTTAGGATTGGTGGCTGCTAGATGGATTTTAAGCATTTTAATATTTATATTTTGAAGGGAAGAGAATTCATACTATATGCCAGGCACTCGACACATGAAGATAGAGTTGTGTTAGCCTTGGTGTCTCATGTTACACAATCATTCTACTTGTTTATTCTTGTAAAGTAGGATAAAATGCTCAATGTTTTCATGGTTTCCCAATTTTAAATGTCCCTAAAAGCAGCAAAAGGAAAGCGAAAACTTTAAGACCACCAGAGAATCTAAAATATAATAAATAAGTACTATAGTAACATTGTTCTAGTAATAAGAGGACTACTAAGATAACTTTCAAGATTTAAATGGGAATTTTCATTCTAAAATGATAAAAAGGTGGTATACAAAAGGCAATTATTTTTAAAAAACATGAATCTTGATATTCAGATATAATTGTTCTTTCAACAAAATCTGGACACTTTACTTTACAATTAACTAATAAATCACAAATCTGTATTGCTTTGAAGATTTTTTTTTTTAAATGACACATTTCAGAATTAACCAAAGCATATTTCTATTACAGGTTAGTTTATCCAAGTAAGTAAAGAATAAACCACAGTGTAGCTCCGTTAACCTAGGAGTCAGGTTTTAATGACAAAGTCCGTTGCCAGCAATGGACATGCAGGTAACCAACAAAAAAGTTGTAAATACAAATCCCAAACTGCTTCTTATCAACTGAAAAGCCCTTTGAGTCACAAGCATAAAATGGGACACTGGCACATATTCAATGAATATGGCCTTTATGATTTAGGATGGAAGCGCCTTCTCAAATGGTCACAATGATCATAGTCTTATCATATAGTTGGTTTTCTATTCCACTGGTAGCATCTTCTTTATCATAATCCATCCAGACAACTGTCCAGAAATAATGTTCAAATCTGGAACTCAAGATGCACTGTAGCTTTCCACCAGAAATAAACCGGTGCATTTCTGTAATTTAGTACTAGCTGGAGAAGGCCAATATAGTTCAGAGAAAAAGGAAATTAAGAATTATATTGAAAGGAGATCATTAAGTGCTCTAGATGTAAGTGGCATTAATTATTTTACTCATTTTTCTGAAAATCTTCCTGTCTTATCAATTAAAAAACAGCCATTTCTATCCTTATACTTGTATTTTAACATAGATATAATGGGAGTAATAGGAAATAAAACCGTACTACATTCCTTAACATGCTCCAAAATGGCAAGATTATTTTTACTCATGATTTGTACTGTTGCAAGATAGCAAGTAGGTAGAAGTTAATTGGGAGGGGATGGTGTGAATAAATGCCAGAACCAAACCACAGGCATTTCTTTTATGTGGTTCCAGGCATGTCAGAAGGAATACCTACTTGAGAAGTAAAACAATTGAGAATAAGGAGAGAAATAGAGGAGAGGGAAAAAGAGAAGCACAGGGGACAAGAAAGGGCACTAGAATAATTAACGCTACAGGTCACAGACCTGTTTTTAATCTTTAAAATAAGAAAGTATTTCTATCAACAAATACATTTCATCTTTTTTCCTGTTTTTTTTACATGAATATTCTCAAATTTGAGGAAAGAAAACCCCAAAAACTAAAGTTACTCAACAATTCAAGAAGTACTTTATCATTTAAATCTTCATAGACAGTAAAAGATTGGTAATCAGCTGGGAGCAATGTAATTTATGACATATCTCTATAGTTTACTGGTCTTAAAAGCTGCTTCTCAGGAATACTGTTTCTCTTATATGAATAAAATCTCATCTAGTTATTTCAGAGCTCACCAAGGTTCAAGTCTCTCACTTTGTCTCCACTAGTCCCAAATATTTTTCTCCTTTAAATGGAAAAAAAATTAATCTATAAATTCTGAAAATTCAATGGTTATTGTATTAGTCGGCACAGGGGTTAGGAATGGTATGTATGAAGTGAGAGAGGATTAATTAAAAACAAACCTAAACCTAAAATTGCAACATATACAAAAATTTATTCCCAAAATGAAAGGGGAGAAAGGAAGGAAGGGGTAGGTCCAGCACTAACCAAAGTCCTAAAGCCCAAGACAGAACAGGAACAAATCACTTTGGTTCCTGAAGCAAATCTGAAGAGGAAATAGGCAGAAAGGAAGACAAAATTGTAAGAATGTATATTTAATGGGATTCTTTTTCTATCTCAATGATTTAGTTATAAATATAGATTAGTAGTCTTCTCTCTATACATGGAACAAATATCAAACTCACTACCATGACATTTCTAAAATTGACTTTTTCACATTGTTAAAAAAGCGAGAATCACATGCTTTTTCTTCCCTTCCCCTAGGCCAAGTTCTGAACTGAAACATGACGTGTAACGATCGCTGCTCTTCCTAACTTCTATATAAAGTTAAACCATAATGAGCTCCGATGCCAATATAAAGAGCTACATAATTTCTATCACACTTGTCTTGAATTTAGGCATGAGGAAAAATTTCTCAAAGCAACTCAATAGGAGCAAGTCCGGGAAAAGGAAAGCTAGTGAAGGAGAGCAAAAGAGGACTAACAGATGAAACAAATACTCTGAAAAACTCGAATCTGCCATTCAAGTATTGAAAGTATCCCAAAAGGGGATAACGAATGGTATCTATTATAACAAAGTCAGCAAAATAAAATGCAAATCTCAAGCATGATAAATGGCCCTGATAGTTTGTCTGCTGAAATACGTAAGGCTAGTGATTCAGTCCACAATTCCTTTTGGACCCTAAAGAAGGGGTTTTTTGCTTTAAAGTCAGAATTTTCTTTTTGCAATTTTCTCTTTGTTGTCCTCAGAGAATAGTAGCTTGCTTTCCCCTCCATGTTATGCAGACCATTTCTTTAAACCCCCAAAAGAGTAATAATTTTCATGTGTTAAAAGACTTCTTTTAGAAAATGGAAAAAGAATAGGAGGCCACAGCCAACAATGTTAACGGTTACTCTTCATTGCTTCTTTAGCTGCCATGATCAGTGGTGTTAAGCTAGATAATGGTTTGGCCAGTTTCAGGAAGGGATGCTGCCAGAAAGAAGAGAAAAAATAAATGTATAAATGTCATCAGTCAATTCAGAAACAAAATAATTTCTTACAATTAGGCTCCAAAGATTACTTATGGATTATAATTTATTTAATAAACCAAACAAATCTTTCAGTACTGGATAAAATCAACATAATCAACACATTAGTTTTATAGTTGAAAACAGAGTTGCTTTAGCTTTTGTAATATTGTAAGATCTACAGTTAAATGACTCACAGATATATACACACCATCAATGAGCATGTATGAAAACTGATAATATATAATAAACTTAATATAAAATTATCATATTATCAGAATTTTATTCCAAGCAGATAAAATGCTGAAATACAGCCAGTGCCATTCTGGTGGCAACTAATGACTAGTGAAATATAATTATTAACCCTATGAAAAAAAGTTTTCAAGAAGTCAACTTTTTCTTAAAATGGAATCCTCCTAGATCTACCTGTAACAATTCTTTGGCTGAACCCCTTTTTTCCACATCCATTTCCAAACATCGATTTAAGAAATCTCGAAATATTGGAGAAAGTTTTTCTGGATTCTGAAGTTCTGGGGTTCCATTAGTTGCTATCAGGTATAAGGCCTAAAAAATAGAAGAACATCTTAGATATACTCAAGGATGAACAACAAAGTGAGAGAGCATTTTATAAAGTTTATGAACTTCTTACTTCTTTAAAGACAATCACCATAGGCTCAGTGCCTGTAGCTCAGCAGCTAGGGCGCCAGCCACATACACTGGAGCTGGTGGGTTCAAATCCAGTCTGGGCCTGCCAAACAATGACCACTACAACCAAAAAATAGCCTGGCATTATGGTGGGTGCCTGTAATTCCAGCTACTTGGGAGGCTGAGGCAAGAGAATCTTTTTTTTTGCAGTTTTTGGCTGGAGCTGGGTTTGAACCCTCCACCTCCAGCATATGGGGCTGGCGCCCTACTCCTTTGAGCCACAGGAACCGCCCCCAAGAGAATCTTTTTTTTTTTTTGAGACAGAGCCTCAAGCTAT